CCCTAGGGACCAGTCAGTTTATGTTATCCTTAAACCCTAAACCCTTTTAAATCTCACTAAATCCCTAGGGACCAAGCAGTTTATGTTATCCTTAAACCCTAAACCCCTTTATATCTCACTAAATCCCTAGGGACCAGTCAGTTTATTTTATCCTTAAACCCTAAACCCCTTTATATCCCACTAAATCCCCAGGGGCCAGTCAGCTTATGTTCCTCCTTTATATCCCACTAAATCCCTGGGGACCAGTCAGCTTATTTTTTCCTTAAACCCTAAACCCTTTTATATCCCACTAAATCCCTAGGGACCAGTCAGTTTATGTTATCCTTAAACCCTAAACCCCTTTATATCTCACTAAATCCCTAGGGACCAGTCAGTTTATTTTATCCTTAAACCCTAAACCCCTTGATATCCCACTAGATCCCTAGGGACCAGTCAGTTTATTTTATCCTTAAACCCTAAACCCCTTTACATCCCACTAAATGCCTAGGGACCAGTCAGTTTTGTGTTATCCTTAAACCCTAAACTCCTTGATATCCCACTAAATCCCTGGGGACCAGTCAGTTTTGTGTTATCCTTAAACCCTAGACCCCTTTATATCCCACTAAATCCCTAGGGACCAGTCAGATTATGTTATCCTTAAGCCCTAAACTTTATATCTCACTAAATCCCTAGGGACCAGTCAGTTTATGTTATCCTTAAACCCTAAACCCCTTTATATCCAACTAAATCCCTAGGGACCAGTCAGTTGATGTTATCCTTAAACCCTAAACCCCTTTATCCCACTAAATCCCCAGGGACCAGTCAGTTTTGTGTTATCCTTAAACCCTAGACCCCTTTATATCCCACTAGATCCCTAGGGACCAGTCAGTTTTGTGTTATCCTTAAACCCTAAACCCCTTTATATCCCACTAAATCCCTAGGGACCAGTCAGTTTATGTTATCCTTGAACCCTAAAGTCCTTCATATCCCACCCAATCCCCAGGGACCAGTCAGTTTTGTGTTATCCTTAAACCCTAGACCCGTTTATATCCCACTAAATCCCTAGGGACCAGTCAGTTGATGTTATCCTTAAACCCTACACCCCTTTATATCCCACTAAATCCGCAGGGACCAGTCAGTTTTGTGTTATCCTTAAACCCTAAACCCCTTTATATCCCACTAAATCCCTAGGGACCAGTCAGTTGATGTTATCCTTGAACCCTAAAGTCCTTCATATCCCACTCAATCCCCAGGGACCAGTCAGTTTTGTGTTATCCTTAAACCCTAAACCTCTTTACATCCCACTAAATCCCTAGGGACCAGTCAATTTATGTTATCCTTAAACCCTAAACCGCTTTATCCCACTAAATCCCTAGGGACCAGTCAGTTGATGTTATCCTTAAACCCTAAAACCCTTTATATCCCACTAAATCCCCAGGGGCCAGTCAGTTTATGTTATCCTTGAACCCTAAAGTCCTTCATATCCCACTCAATCCCCAGGGACCAGTCAGTTTTGTGTTATCCTTAAACCCTAAACTCCTTGATATCCCACTAAATCCCTAGGGACCAGTCAGTTGATGTTATCCTTAAACCCTACACCCCTTTATATCCCACTAAATCCCCGGGGACCAGTCAGTTTTGTGTTATCCTTAAACCCTAAACCCCTTCATATCCCACTAAATCCCTAGGGGCCAGCCAGTTTATGTTATCCTTAAACCCTAAACCCCTTTATATCGCACTAAATCCCGAGGGGCCAAGCAGTTTATGTTATCCTTAAACCCTAAACCCCTTGATATCCAACTAAATCCCTAGGGACCAGTCCTTAACCCTAGACCCCTTTATATCCCACTAAATCCCTAGGGACCAGTCAGATTATGTTATCCTTAAGCCCTAAAGTTTATATCTCACTAAATCCCTAGGGACCAGTCAGTTTATGTTATCCTTAAACCCTAAACCCCTTTATATCCAACTAAATCCCCAGGGACCAGTCACTTGATGTTATCCTTAAACCCTAAACCCCTTTATCCCACTAAATCCCCAGGGACCAGTCAGTTTTGTGTTATCCTTAAACCCTAGACCCCTTTATATCCCACTAGATCCCTAGGGACCAGTCAGTTTATGTTGTCCTTAAACCCTAAACCCCTTTATGTCCCACTAAATCCCTAGGGACCAGTCAGTTTATGTTATCTAAACCCTAAACCCTAAAACCTAAACCTCCGTTCGTGTCCCACAAGGCTCTGCTAGGCCTGGTAAAGACCGGCGAGTGCGGAGCTTGGAGTCTCAGAGTGTCCCCTTCTGTGCTATAGTCTAAACTCCTTAAAAGGGGGTTATATGGGGGATTATATAGGGGAGTATTCTAGGGGATATAAAGGGGCTTACGAGGAGTGTAGACTACAGCTCATATGATAGCTATTCTGCTATTCTCATTAATGATGTTTTATTTTGATTGTTATTCTCATTATCACTACTATTACTAGTCGTGTTATATTAGGGTTATATGGGGTTAATGGAAAAGAAAATGGAAACTGCTATAATGGGTTATATAGGGAGAGTAGAGGGGTTTTATGGAGGTTATGTAGGGGTAATGGAAAAGAATATGCAAAACAGTAGTTTAGGGTTCGGGGTTTGGGGTTTAAGGTTTGGGCATTTCGTGCGAGGTGCTGGTGCTGAAAGCACCCCGGAGCGAACCTCGAAGCGTATGAGCCCAGACCTGCTAGCGCTCCTCCCCCTATATAAGCCAGTATAGTAGTTTCCATTTTCTTTCCCATTACCCCTACATAACCTCTATAAAGCCCCTAAGCTCTCCCTATATAACCCATGATAGTAGTCCTGACAGTACTTTAGCGCCGCAGGCGGCGTAAGATTTTCTGCGTGCAGAGGTGTTGCAGCAGGTTATTTCAGTGATGTGTTTGTTTCTTATTGTGCGCAGCCGACAGGCCAGGGCAAATGACAGGTGACTCTCATAGCCAGAAAAACGGAAAGACACTTGCTGGTTCCCCTTACTTTACTGACCTTTGCCTGTTTAAAAAGGTGGCTTGGATAGGCTCTGGACATCAAAGTAGGTATGGTGTCATGTGGACGTAGAAGCCGAATCGCATGTGAGTGTTTCCTTTATGTTTGGCAAGGATGGCCCTTGAGTCATACGTAGTCTGCAGTCCTTAGTGCATTCTTCCGAATGCGGTGTGTGCAGTACATACGGTGTAAGTGTTACATGTACTTGTGACAGGTCCAGGCATCGCATTGTTTATGGATGCCTATGGGATAGATTTCCATTCATGTCTGCTGGTGCAGAGCAGTAGGAGGATCCTAAGCAAGCGTGATTCCTCACAACCCGTAGTAGACCTCATAATTTTTGCCTTGAGCCCACAGTTGGGACCCAGGTTCCGAGATTTTACATTCTCGGCCGAACTGTATTCGTGCAGCTGGCTACGGTTTGTGTCCTGGAGCTTAGAATCGGTTCCCCTTGCGAAGATGCTCCTCAAGAAAGGCTTTTGAAGGGGAAGGGGTAAATTCTGGGCGATTGATGGCTAGGCCTGCTGTTTGTCAGTTGGGAATGGAAGAATGGATCCTTCAAGTAACCCAAACACAATCCCCAACCATAGTTTCCACTTGCTCTTCCCCTCCTTCATTCGCTGCTCGCAACCAGCAAGTAGGGGATGATGAGGAAAGAAATCCCCAGCAGTGACGGTTGCCGCGACACCGACGCCATGTTTTTTCAGACATTCCCCAAAACCCTAAGTGGTAGTTTCCATTTTCTTTTCCATTATGCCTATATAGCCCCAATATACTGTAGTAGTTTCAATTTTGTTTTCAATTATCCCTATACATCCACCATATATCTCCTATATATAGCCTCGAATAATCCCTATATATTCCCAAGTTTCCATTTCATTTTCCATTTTTTCCATTTGACTCGCCATTATAACCCCAATATGTCTTCTAGGATCCCAGAGCCAGGGACCTTTTCAAGCTGCTGTCGCTGGCATGCTCCTGGAGAACGCAGGAGTGACCCAGCTGTATTTTGAGTGATTCCTTGGCGTTTGGCGAGTTTCCGATTGGGTGTCCAAATGGGAAATACTCCAGTCAAGTGAGGGCATGCCCCAGGTTTGAGACAACCATTTGGCAACAGTACGCCTTCAACGGCTTCTATGCACCGCCAGCGCCCGCAAAGCTATAAAAGAATTATGCAAA